TGATTATTGAGAGTTATGCAATTTTTGGAGTCTTATGTAAGTGTGTGTGAGATCTGCATAATTCTGTGATTGTATATGTAACTATGGGAATGTATTTAAATGCTTAAATTTAATTAAACCATCATGTATTCACGAGCTCAATGAATGTTGTCTTTTATTGATATTGCTTCCGCTTAAGGCCCCGTATGTGATTAAATATGATTCTCAAGTTCTGTTTTGAGGCCTATGTACAGGCCGGTCGTGGACCAAACTTTTAGGGACGGGTTTGGGCCACGACACTTCAAGCCCAGTAACATACAAAACGACCTTAGGCCTAACAGATTTTACAGATTGGCCTTAGGCCGAACAAATTGTACAGATTGGCCTTAGGCCGAACAGATTGTACAGATTGGCCGTAGGCCCAGATATCAACAGAGCAAAGTGATTCTAGAGTCGTACCAATGTAGGTAGATTTTCTAATCATTTGTAAATGTTAACGTAACTAACTCACAAAGAACAGAGTGTTAATAATAATTATTAACGGTAGGTAAAGGTACAACTGCGGTACTAGTACTCACTGTGCTGTAGTGGAGCATTAGTTCCTCCCGGATTGTGCCCTACACACTTGCACAATTGTCCCTTTTGTTTTTTAAATCATTTTCTAATTCGTTTCAAACATTAAAAGGCATCAAATGTAGATTTCAATAATATTAGAGGGTCAAGCACGTAAAACGGAGCAGACAAAAATTTCTAGCATGGGCCGCACGTGTGGCAGTGGCACCCGCACGTGCGGCTATGAAGCCCCGCACATGCCTTTTTTCCAATAGCCAAAGACCCAAATTGCTCTGTTTTCCGCACGTGCGGCCATGACTCCCGCACATGCGGCAGTGTTCCCGCACGTGCGGCCATGACCCCGTATGTGCGGCGATTTGCCCAGTTTTGCAGTTCGAAATTCAAGCAACTTTTCAACTTGGCAAATTCAATAAAAGCATAAAATAAGGGGAAATTGATGCAATATAATGGCGCAACATCACATAAATATAGATCACAAGTTCAATCAAGCCTTCATTGCTCTCAAATCTATATACACAATTCACTCCGTCCAAAGTTCTAATTATTTTTGAGTTCACTTAAACATATACACATATATATAGCCATCTAATCACATAATCCAATACATAAATGAGTTCCCACGTGAAATAACAAGGAAGCAAGATGCAATTTCTTCATATAGTTCAAATTAGTTCCCAAGACAACTATATGGTAAATACAACTTCCCAATTAAACAATGATCACATACAACACTTCAAACCTAAACCCTAGCTCAGCCAAATGGAAGGGCATGTTTACTCAAATCCAAGAACGAGTTTATTTAAGGTGAAGTTTGCATAACTTGAGCTTAAATTTCCATAAACCCTCTCAAATCCCCCAATCTTCCTTCTTGTTGAACCATCCCTCTTCCTGTCTAATTCACCTCTTCAAATTCTCTCTCAGGAGATATTTGTGTAATGGCTCTCAATCAAATGTTTAAAGAAAATACATATAAATATAAAAGGTGAATAAGACGAAATTCATTCAGTTTAATCGTTCCAAATCAAAATTTCATAGAAAATCATATTATGACCTAAAAATCATGCTGATCTTAAATATAAAATCAATTTCAGATTATTAAGCTTCAATGGCTTTCAATTTATGATCCAAACATTATAAGTGTAACAGATACTTCTCCTACTAGACAGATATGAGTCTATATTCATAAGATTCGCTTAATTAAACTTCATTTCACACGAAATTTCACAATAAGCATATAAATGCACAAAATAGGGGACTGGAAGTATACCAGAAAACATGTACGAGGGTCGGGTTATTACACTCTCCCTCCCTTAAATAAGTTTGGTCCATCAAACTTGTTTTTACCTTAGGATAGGAATAGATACAGATATTGGTGTTGTATTTCTTCTTCTTTTTCCCATGTAGCTTCAGTCCCATAATGTTCTTGCCATTCAATTTTCACCATAGGGATTTCTCGATTCTGCAGTTGTTTCACTTCACGATTCAGAATCCGAATTGGTCTTTCTTCATAAGTTAACTTATCACCCAACACAATTTGTTGGTAATCAATAACATGAGACGGATTCGGAAGGTAGCTTCGAAGCATAGAGATGTGGAACACTGTAACAACCCTCATTTTAACTTAGTCATACTTGCATACATTTATGGATGATCTTGTTTTAATATGTGCATTGCAAATCTTGTCTTGTTTTGCTTGAATGATTGCTTGCATGCTTTGTTCTTGTCTGGTGTGTTGCCGAGGTCACCTTAAGCCTAGACACCTTCGAGACCTTTATCACTTTGAACTATCTTGGAACCCCTTTGGTTGACTTCCATCTTCACCCTGGCATATTGGCCGAGATGTCACCATCTAGGCCGAGGTTCGCGTCGCCTAGGCTGAGATGTGCATCATCTGGGCCGAGATGTTAATATCTAGGCGTTCTAGATCCTTGATCCTTGCATGAGTGATTTTGTTCCTAGAACGGTATGATCTAGACCGAGGTGTGGCACATCTAGGCCAAGGTGCGGCACAGCTTAGTCAAGTGTTGTCCTTCCAAGCCGATGTCATTGTTACCCTGCTTGCTGAAGCTTTGCCCTTAGCCGAGATCATCACTTGCCGGAGTACTCTTGTTGTTTAGCTTGTTGAATGCACTTTGTCTTGGTCTTGTCTAATCAGTCAGTCACCTTTTAGAGTAGAGCCAGTCAGCCGGTGCCACTACAACAAAAGTAACCTATCGTAACGAAAACTAGTGAAGAAAATAAATTTCGTCACTAAATAAAAATAATTTGTGAGGAATTTATAAATTTTGCCACATATAATAAAAAAAATAAAAATGATAGGTGACGAAATTTATTTTCGTCAATAAGTATTTCATTTTAAGTGAAGAAAAATTAAGTTTTGTCACCAAAAGTTTTCCCGCTAATTTTTTTGGGTGGCGCCAAAATTTTGGGACTTTTGGTGAGAAAAAAATTTGTCACTAATTATTAAATTATTTGTGAGGAATATATTTTCGTCACCAAAACGTTTTAATATTTTCGATATCTTTTGGTGAGGAAATAATATTGTCACCAATTTTGGTGGGAAATTTTTGATATATTGAGCTGCAATAAAAAAAAGGGTATTAATTTTTTTACCCCTTTTTTGTTGATCATCTCTCTCTCTCACTCTTAAAATAGGGTATTAATTTGTCTTACCTCTTGCTCCTCCACCACGCCGATCGCCATCGTCGTTGCCATTATTAGCCTTGTCGATTGCCGCCGCCACTGCCACTAGTAGCCTTATCGGTAACCGCCACATCTTCTTCACTCAGTGATTTGGTACATGATTTCTCTTTGCTCTTTTTCTAGTGTCTCTTTCTCTTATTCTCTGTTTTGGTATGATGACGAAAATTAGTGAAGAAAACAAATTTCATTACTAAATAAGAATAATCGATGAGGAATTATAAATTTTGTCACGTATAATAGAAAAATAAAAATAATAGGTGACAAAATTTATTTCCGTCAATAAATACTTAGTTTTAGGTGAGAAAAAATTACGTTTCGCCATCTAAATTTTTCCCACTAATTTTTTTTATGGCACCAAAATTTTGAAACTTTTGGTGAGGATTTATTTTTTCACCAATTATAAAATTTGTCACTAATTATAAAATTATTTGTGAGAAATATATTTTCATCACCAATAATTTTTAATAATTTTGAGATGTTTTGGTGAGAAAATAATGTTATTACCAATTTTGGTGAGAAAATTTTGATGCATTGAGCGACAATGACCAAAAAAAAGGGTATTAATTTTCTTTTACCCCTTTTTTGTTTATCATCTCTCTCTCTCAAAATAGGTACTACTACAAAACAGTTAAAGATCACACTTTGACAAATAAAAATATATCATTTTTATTAGAAGTGTGATAAAAAAATTAAATTGATATTTTAATTACACTTAATTTAATTGAATGTGATAATATTTACTTTTTATATCACTTTTCAATTAAATATAATTATATATATTTTTTTTAATCTCACCTTCTAAATGTGATTATATAAAAAAATTTTAATCACAACTTCTAAATAAGTGTGATGAATACATATTGTAAAAAATTAAATTCAAAAAATTCAATTAAATTTCTTTTCTTCTTCTCTCTTTTGTGATTCACGTTCTCTTTCTCTCTCTCTCTCTCTCAAAGAATGATAAACACCTCATGGGCACAACCTTTGCATCTCCTCCTCTTCCCCAATAGAGACCCACTTCGCCATAGACGGTGCTTTTCATTTCTCTTACAACCCTTCAAAACTCATTGGCTTAGGAAAGACATGCAATTTTGGTACAGTTCTAAACTTAGAGTTTGTTTCTTTTTTTTTTTCTTAAACCCTTCCCTTCTTAAATTAGGGCATTTGATTAAACTATTTGGATTTCAATTCAACGATTTTTGGTGGGGGGTTTTGAATTAGGGCATTTGATTCAACGATTTTTGGGTGGGGGGTTTTGATTTTTTTTTTTATATATATAAAATTCTTAGGTAGTGAGCTTCTCCCCCCCCCCCGTTTCTCCTTTTTTTCTTATTTAAAAAGAAAAAAGAAATAAAAATCTAACCGACACCATGCTTATGGATGTGAATCCAGAAACTCTAAGATTTGTCTTTTTTTTTATATATGAGTTTCAATAGTCTAAATGGGATTCCAGTTTTGAAATGGGTTTGAAATATACAAGTGTTCTCTAGCCTTGTCTAAATCAGTTTTATGTTTTTGTTTTTCCAATTTTTTTTCATTATGTAATGCAATCTATAATATCTATGAAGTTCATGTCTTCTTCTTTGTAGTTTTGCACCTTAAATGTTTATTTATTTACTTCATTGAACTTCAGTGTGATGGCTTTCATTTTCCTACATATTTCCTACAACTACAAAGGGTTTTGCACCTTAAATGTTCATTTATTTACTGTGGTATATGATTTGTTTGTAGTAATTCTCCATATGGTATGTAAATTCAATCATTTCACTTTTTATTGGATTGAAACATTTGTCTAATCTTTTTATTTTGTTAGGATTTCCCCTCTTGTTTGTGACAGGAAACAAACAAGAATTCTGCATGTCAAGTGTTTGAAGATATTTCCGAGAGATAACCCATCAACCCATCAAACCATCAACCCAATGCCGTTGAAAAACTTATGGTATATTAACCTCTTATAAAATGACTATTCTATTTGTAATAGAGCATAAAAGTTTTTAAGAATTCAAATGAGATATTGTAAAGGGAAGGGAGTGTCGTATATCAATGTTGTGCAACTGAACCTATAATAGATTTTTTTTTTTATTTTTTTTGATATTTTAATACTGCCTCACCTATAATAGATTTTAATTAATTTATTTATTTTTGGTGTAGGAACATTTCTTTTCTCCTTGAGTAGGGGTGGTAGTGATTTGACAACCACAACCATTGGTAAAGCTCTGGGGTTGCGAGAAATTCAGGTCAATGCTTACCCTAAATACATTTATGTCAAAAGTTGTTCATATATCTGCATATGTATACATGGATATGGGATAACATTGTAGATAACATACTATGGAATAGTGTGAAACAATGTATTCTTATGAGCTCTAGTTGTATGAAAATTTAATTCAGGTTCTATAATTTGTAATTGCACGACTTCCATACAAGTTTCTAGACAAATAAGAACATGTTTTCCAATCCATTACTGGTGTGGAAGGATGTTGATGGTGTTTTGACGTGTGATCCTAACATATATGCACTCGCAGAACCTGTGCCATATCTAACATTTGAGGACCCAGCAGAGCTTGTTTATTTTGGTGCTCAGGTATCATTTTAGGGAAATTCTACTATACACACCTCCTACCTTATGCACCCCTAAGTTATTTCATTTTCTTCTTTAGTTATGACCAATTTTCTTATTTAGTTATGACCTTATTTTAGTTATAATTCATGAGATCTTTGGTTATGCATCATGTGTTGTTTGGTTATAGCCTCTTTTTCTTTTTTTTTAGTTATGACTCTGAAAGTATAAAGTTATGTCATTTTCTTTTTTAGTTATGAGGTGCATACGGTACACCCCAATCTATAAACAAACACTGCTAGACAAAACAAATGGAGGTAGACTATGAATTTTCCATAAGCCCCATCCAGAAGGATGATGGACAAAAACAAATCAAAGGCTTCCATAACCTGCGAACCAAGAGCCCTAAAACTAAATTGAACGATACGAATCATACTGAATCTCAATTGAACCATACGATTCACTTAATTTAAGATTCAACAGAACAAATAAAATCTTTTCAGTTGAAACTTGTATCAAATTGTGAATCGTAAGATTCTTATAACCATGATTGTTCTTACTTGTGTATATATGTACATAGATGCATTTAGATTTGTAATTTGCTTCAGTCAATTTGAGGAGAAGTTTGAGGTGATCAATGGTGATGAGGCATCCCCAAGTATTCCTTTGACATCAGGGTTTGATGGAAATTCAGCTGCACCAATGGTAACTGAAGAAAGCAGAAATGACATTGAAATGCAGGGTCAAGAAGATCATAGACTATGCTCTGATATAAATGCCTCACAAGACTTTGTGAGTGGGATCATGAAGATTGTCCCAGAAGTTGATGTGAGTCCTTGAATTTAACCAATTATTAGTTGTTTTGGTTATGAGGTACAAATTGCCAAGAAGCTTCTATTTGCACACCACACTTCTCAGTTCACACCTTTTTTTTCGTTCAGATATCATATTATTTATCAAAAAAAAATAAATTGCTTGGATATCAACCAAACAAAAACCCAGTTCGGTTGTTGATATCTGAACGATTAATTTTTGTTCGGATGTTGATATCCAAACAATTGATTTTTGTTTGGTAGTTGATATATGACTACCAAATTGGTGTGAATTGAGAAAAAGGGTATTGTGCAAATAGAAGCTCCCAAATTGCCAATGGCAAGTCAAACTCAAAACTCATAACACTCTTAGAATAGCTTCATACCATCTGCCAAGAGCAACTATAACCAATTCTATTTAGAGAATAGTTATTGCCTTGCGGCTTTACCAAAAACCAGTAGCCAGAGTTTTCCTATTAGTAGTGGTCCAAGTCCATGGACAGTCTGCAAATTTGCTTACCTTGGGTTAGCAAATCAAAATAGAGAGAGAACATCATGATTTTGATATATGTATATGTATATATTTTTTTGGTCATTGCAGAGTGATGCAGATTACTGGCTTTTACCAGATGGCAATGTTAGCATTACCGACATGTGGACAGAGCATATCCTATACTCTTGAGCTTCTGTGCCTATGCGGGTTTTGACATTGCGAGATCACATAAAGAGAGTTTTGCTGCAGATCTGTACCCAGTTACTTATGGGTGGTGTTTTCTATTATTGTTGGTGATCACAGGATATGCTGAAGTATCACATGAAGTAAAGCTGAAGGCTGGTCTGTTTGATGTGGGCTTGGAGGACATGAAGAGGGCCAGGCTACAAAAATGCAGCAATTCTTTGAGTGGTCCTCAAAAAGGAAAGTTGGTGTTTTTAATTTATACTAATTTTGTACCCAGCTTACCTTTATGCATATCTAATTTTGGATGTTGTATTGAGTGGATGATTATTACGTTTGGTCTATTTTTGAAGCCTATCCCGGTGGGCTGTGTCTGGAGGTATTTTTCTGCTCCTTTTGTTGTATGCTGTTGCTATATGCTTTGCTGCCAGCTGCTGCTCTATCTATTCCTTACTGTTGTGGCCTTATGCTATTTGCTATGCTGCATGGCTGCATATTACTGCATGGTTTTTCAAGTTATACTATAAAATGTACTAAATTATTGCTTAGCATAACAGTTAAAAGCATGATCTGTGGTTTTTATATTTTGTCTTATTATCTGTGATGTTCGTTCATGTGATTTTGATATTATCTATCATTTTTCTACAGTCTCATTTAAAGATATTCCTGTCACCTAGTTTTACTTGCCATAAATTTTGGAATTAAACAAAATTCTTAGTCTCATCATTTGCAGAATTTTGGTAGAGAAGTAGTTCCTTAAGTTGTTTTCATTTTGTGGCTATATCATTTGCTTAGCTGAATGAGTTCAAACCTTCATGTTACAACTTTTCAATTGAAAATAAAAGCAAAACTTTGAAAGTTTATAGCTTTATGATTGCAGTTAAATCATTGCTAGCATGATGGGTCTCGGAGACATTGGAATTATAAAACATTCCAACTTTAATTGTATGTTTGACACATCTTCATTGATTCAACTCTCTGTAATTCCGGTGCTTTTCCAATGAGTTTACAATGATCTCTGGCTCTGATTTCGAGTATTTTTTGTTCTTTCTTTTCTTGTTGGTGCAGTGGAGCCTGAAACAGCGCTTTACACGGAGCTATGGCACGCTTGTGCTGGTCTGCTCGTGACAGTGCCTCGTGAAGGCGAGCGCATGTTCTATTTTTCTCAAGGACATATTGAGCAGGTTAGTTTCCAACTCGAGGCAATGAATTTATTATCTGTGAAGTGTTTTGAGATTTGATAAATATCTCATAAACCTGAGTTAGTTGTGTGCAAATCTCAGGCGATGAATTTGATTTTCAGCCCTAGAATTTGAAATTCGTTGATTTCGAAGAGTTAAAAAACTTCGACTTGAACCAGCATTTGGCAGGACATGATCCGTGTGAGACTTCGAGTGGTCCAGATTCATATCCAAACAGGTCCATAGGACACAGGAACAGTCGCCTTAGTAGAAAAGTAGAAAAAGAAAAAGGTAATCTACATCTCACTTTTGAGCTTAAACAAGGAAATGGCAGTATGAACTCTCTCAACCTCTCAATCTCATTCTCTATCTCTCTTTGTCTCTCTCAATCTTGCTTTCTCTCTTTGTTTGTCAATCTCCTGCTCTCTCTTTATGGTTCTTTTGAAATCTCTATTTTTCATTCATTGTCACTCAGATCGCCCCTTGGATTGTCCAAAATGATCTCTCTAGGGCAACACAAAATCAACATTTTTAGGTATTTCCTTTGATTAATCTCTGGCATGTTTTTTTTTTTTTTTTCCTCTGTCTCTATATATTCTTTGTATTTTGCAGCAATTTATGCATATCTATTTATTGAAATTGAAATTATTAATTTTCTGTGCATAATGGAGTTTGATCCATTGGTGATTTAAGTATGATTCTGTGTTTTCTACTCTAATGTGTTACAAATACTACTCATACTTTAATTTAATTTTGTTCAATTTTAATGGAATAAGAAATTCATAGCCTACTTGAGATCGTTCTGGTAGATGCTTCGTTCATATATATATATTTTTTTTTGCTGGGAATTTGGAGCGACATTATTTGGATTTTTTTTTATTTTAATTTAATGCAGCTTTGAAAGATCTAGAAATTGGAGCGACATTATTTGGATCGTCGTTGCCTTGCTATTCCCCATCATAATGTGTATTGATCAGGTGCAAGTTTGGATTTGAAGAATATATATCTCCATGGTGAGTTTTTTTGTACATCTCATATTTCATATAGGAATGAAAAATAACAATAACGATTTGATTTGAAAGATCTGAACTGCCATTGGATTCTAGTGAGTGATCCATGACACCATGTTCTTCATTTTCCATCTCTTTTTCTGTGTTTTCACCCCTGTCAACTATCTTAACATCCTCATACACCTGAATGGCCTATCACAGTGGATCTTTAAAAGCAATCATATTTAGAAGTAGAAAAAAACTTAATGACACCAGATAAAAGTTATTTAAAAATTGATATAGGGTGAGTCTTTTTCTAGTGTTTTGTGGCCATTCTTGCCATAAGTGCTAATGAGTCAGTGAGCATTCTTGTAAAGATGACATAACTTAGATAGGTCATTGACTTAATCTGGTCGACTAACAGATGGGGTGTGGGCTGCAAGTTTGGATACAGTATTATTTGGATAAAATACAAGCCTAATTCCATTTATCTAGTTGCTCATAATATCAGTCAATCTTCTCAATATGAAATTGTGCAGTCCCAAATGTATTTTAAAGTCTAAAATGGTGGAAAATAAATAGTTCTTGTTCTGGCTTTTAATATGAAGACGGATCCTATAGAATAGATCTTGTTCAAGTAAGGTCGTACCGTGTACTTCTCATCTTATAAATACACCTTTTCTTTCTCATATTGTTTCGATGTGGGACTCGCTGTCTGTGTCTCAGAGATTGATTTTTTAGATATTTTGTTATTAGTCTGATTTTTTTCAACTGTTTCACATCTGCTTTCCATATTGAATTTGATACTAGTGAAGTTGTAATTGTAAGTGGATTTGGAATTTCTGTTTGTGTGCAAAGAAAATCACTTCAAAAGATCCTCACAATTTTCATAGCATTGATATGCTCTTTTGACTGTAATTTTCTGATATGCTTTGTTGAGCTGTTGTTTAGACTCAAAGAAGAATGACCTTATGTTTATGAACTCGGACAAGTTTAGTGACTTCCAGATCAAAATTTGAGAGCGAAGAACCATGTTGGCAATCAAGACAGGGAAATTCTCATCAATAAATTGTTATTTTCACATTCTTTGGGTTTTGGGATTTTAATACAAAGACGGATCCTGTGTTTTAATATGAAATTGTGCAGTCCTAAATGTGTTTTAAAGTCCAAAATGTAATAAAAGAACTTTTTCTAGTTTTTTAGTTGTAATAACTTTTACATATGACTCCAATTTTGAGACTCAGATGGAATGCCTGATTAAACAACAATGTTATACTATTTGAATTCTTGTCATTGCTATTTTTAGAATGCTTAACGTTACGCTTTTATGTTTCTTTTTTCTTTTTTGCTTTTTGTTTTTTTGCGACAGTAACAAAATGGTCGTCAAAAAACATGTTAGCATTTTTCTTTATTTTTTGCGATGGCAAAATAGCAGTCACCATAAATAGTTTAGGCAGTCGCGAATAATTTGCGACCGTTGCTTCGTCATCGTAAAAAGTATTTGTCACCCCCACATTTGCGACTCCCATTTACCGTCGCATGGATGATGGCAAAAGGTCTTTTGTGACTATTTTTATTATTTGCGACGGCTTGTGGCGGTCGCAAAAAGTGTTTTTTTTAGTAGTCTATACAATGTAATTGATAATATGTTAATGTTTTTCTTGTTTATTTTTTTTTTTTTTTGCAGATTGGTTTTTGATGACATTTGGAAGCATACTTACAAATCAAGATCAAGTGTTGAATTTTTTTTTACTGAAGTGATACTTAGTTGTAGTTGCAAATCAAGATTGAGTGTTGATTTTTTTGGTGGACTCCACGTTAGTTCATTTTGGGATTTGCTTTGATGATTTTTTTGTTATACGTAATGAATTATTATTAAAGTTGTTTGATGGATATATTTTGATTTATAATATAATTGTTTAGTGAATTGTTTTGTGGAGTGATGTATAATAGCTAGTGGATTTCTTAGTACATTTAAAAGGCTATTGGGATATAAGCACAAATATTTGTGAAATAATAATTTAAATTGAAATATAAAATATGGAACAAGTTTAGTGACGAATTTGTTTCGTCATTTTAACTTGTTATTATGATAAAGTGATTATTTGTCATTATTAAATATTTTTTGTGAGAAATTTTATTGTAAATTATATATGAAAGTTTTCATTGATTTTGTAATTTGGTGACTAAAAATTCGGTCACATATATAAATTCTTGTTATGAAATATATTTCGTCACCCATTTGACTTTTGGAGACAAAAAATTTCGTCACTTTTACATCTTACTGTGTCGAAATTATTTCCTCATCAATGATCAACATGTGTGACAAATTTATTCGTCAACTAAAATTATTAATATGGTGCTGAATAATTATTTAGTGACGAAAATGAAAATTTTTGGTGACAAAATATTGTTTTATTGGTGACAAAAAATTTCGTCACTGAAGTAATTTCATTGGTGATGAAATTATTTTTCATCACGGTGGTTTTTAGTGGCAAACATTCAATGATGAAACTGGTGACGAAAATATTTCCTCACAAATATCTATAGTGACGAAATTAGCTCTTTGGCGACAAAAAAATTTCGTCATTCAAGACCCAACTTGTTGTAGTGTGCCACGTGTCCCGGCAAAGGGATTAAGTCAGTGATTGTCGTGAGAAACATATCATTTTGTATCAAATCGTGCCTTTTAGAGAGAGAAACTCTAGGAAGAAGAGGGAGAAGTTTGAGCAAGAGAGAGTGAACTTCCAAGTTTGATCGTTGGAGCTTGAACCGTTAGATTCGAGTCTTGAAGTTAGAATCTTAACCTACTCCTGTCGTTCTTATTGATCATCTAGCTGCATTGCACGATTAAACCTAGTCGGCACGTCATGCATTGATTTAAAGTTGGTTTTAGAAAGAGAAATTGGTTTTCATGTGTTCTTGAAGAAAAGCCTCGTTTGATCCGAAAGTTTGCACTAAGGCTCATGTTTTTGTGTTTGTTTTGATAAGATCCTTGTGTATGGGTACCCAAGTCCACGTTTTCGAATTCATAGCATGAAATCTTAGCTTTCGTTATAGCAAGTTTTGATCTTTGCATTCATTTTCCTCATGTTCATGTTCTTCATGCTCTTCATGCTCTTCATGCTCATGTTCTTCATGTTGTTAAGAGGGAAACCCAGTTTTTCCCGACTTCGCTTTTGAATGTGGCCGTCAGGGCCACACCTCGGCAAGGAGGTGTGGGACCTTGGCCTTGACCTGGAAGTTGCCCAGCTTGTTTTTCCAAAGATAAGAAACTGTGTTTTGATTTGATTTGACTTAGTTTTTGAAGAATGCCGATCATTTGCATGCATGCTAGACTTGTTTTGAGTAGTGCATTCAATAGACTTTGCCATGTGTTTGTAGGACTTGGACTTGCCTTGACCCTGACGTTTGATGAACTATGTGAGTGGTATTTTCAATAAAGCTATGTCATACGATTTGATAAAGACTTTGCTTTGCTTTGTTTTGAAAGTATTTGTTAAGCATGAATAATTGTCCCTGTTTTGTATATCAAGCATGATCTTGTTTTGATGCTCCTTTCGAAAAGTCCCTTGTGCTGGAGGACTCTAAACTTTCGCAGCACATCTCATTTGAAAGTCCCCTGTGCTGGAGGACTGTAAACTTTCGCAGCACATCTCGTTTTGGAAGTCCCTTGTGCTGGAGGACTCTAAACTTTCACAGCACATCTTGTCTTAAAAGTCCCTTGTGCCAGAGGACTCTAAACTTTCGCAGCACTCTCGTGTTAAAAGGCTACGAGCCTTTGTAACATAGGTCCCTTGTGCTAGAGGACTCTAAACTTTTGTTGCACCTTTGTTTGAGATGCCTCTCTTGCTTTGTCTTGTTTTGCCACTGACGGTTTACCTCGTGGATATGTTTGCCGGAATGTTATCATTTGTAGTATGTGATGCTAGTGAGTATCCCTTGAAGCTTTGAAGATTTGTTTTATGGAAGAGATCCATCCCTTGTTATCTAAAGTTTTGACTTGTATTGTTTAAAAGGACTTCGGCTATTATTCATGCGAACCCTTTTATTATTTGTACCATTCACTGAGTATCCAAGCTCACCCTCTCTATATATATGTAGGTGATGAACAAGAAGGCAGTGACGCCTAGATGAGATTCTGGAGCTTATTTTGGATTTTGATTATGTCGGCTTAACCTGTATTTGCGTCGGCAGTCTTGAAAATTATGCTTTTCAATTTGTAATACTTGTATGTTGCATACGTCGGATTGAGAAGCCTTTAGATCAAGATGTGTGTTTTGTACGATTGTTATGTCGGCTTGTGAAGCCCTTTGTAAATATGTAAGTTGTAATTTGTACTTTATTTCATTTGTAATTAAGTTGTAACCCATATGACGATGGTTGCTATTTCATTTGACTTATGCACAGCTCTTATGGACTAATCTGATTGTATGTATCGCTTCCGTACTTGTGAACCCCATACATTTATACTCTGTTATGTGTGAATTTTGAAAGTTGGCCTTCGGTAATCTCGGATTACTGGCCATCACGTCACCAAACTACTAGGGTCGGTTTGGGGTCATGACAGAATGGTATCAAAGCACAAGTTCCTTAGTATACGTTATTCACACACTTTGAGTCCTAAAGAGCATAGGATTTCCCCTTAGAAGGATGTTAGGATTGCATTATATTGCTCTCTATGTGGTCAAGGTGCGCATCATCTCGGCGTGCTTAATTGTTTCTTGCCTACGTGATTATTGGTTCATTTTGTTTAAAAGTCACATTTTGCATACTTATAGCATCATGAGGAGAGGTAGACCTCCAGTTGGCCGAGATCAGTCCGAGGACAGATTGGACAGACTGGAAAGGTTAGTTGAAGGTTTGGCCCGCGAGTTAAGGCAGACAAGACAGCAGTATGCTAGTGCTACGTCGAGTCAGGCCGAGCAGACAAACGGCCGAAATGCAGTTCCACCTCCACCTCCTCCAGTACCACAAGTGCCCCCATA